GTGTATGTGTGTGTATGTTTGTGTGTATGTGTGTGTATGTTTGTGTGTGTGTGTGTGTTCGTCTGTCCGTGTGTTTTAACTAGGTCCTGCGTACGAGCACGTGAAAGTTTTGGCGCGAAAATTGCTAACTCGGGAACGAAAAAAGCTAGAAAGCTGAAACCTTGGGGGAATGTTCCCTACCCGCCTGTGACAAAAAGATTTCAAATTCAGCTGCCCAGGTTTACCCGGGGCTTACATTCGGGCATGTGAAAATTATGGCGGGAAAATTCATAACTCGAAGATGAATAAAGCTAGAAAGTCGAAACTTTGGGGGAATATTCCCTACCCATGCAGGACCAAAAGTTTTCAAACTCATCTCCTTAAGACTACCCGGGGCTCACGTACGGACACGTGAAAATTTTTGACGCGAAAATTACTGGCCCGATAACGGGGAAAGCTGGAAAGCCGAAATTTTAAGGGAATGTTCTCTACTTATATACGAGCAAAATCATGTGTTTAGAAGCGCCTGAGCCTACGTACGAGTGCGTGGAAATTTTGGCGCGAAAATTACTAACCCGTGAACGGGAAAAGCTAAGAAGCTGAAACTTTAAGAGAGTGTTCTCTACTCATGTACGACCAAAATCAGGTGTTTGGAAGCCCCGAGCTCACAGACGAGCGCGTGCAAATTTTGGCGCGAAAATTACTATCTCGGGAACGAAAAAAGCTAGGAAACTGAAACTTTAAGGGAATGTTCCCTACTCATGTATGAGCAAAATCAGGCGTTTAAAAGCGCACGAGCCCACGTGCGAGCGCGTGGAAATTTTGGCGCGAAAGTTACTAACCCGATAACGGGGTAAGCTAAGAAGCTGAAACTCTAGGGGAATGTCCTCTACTCATGTACGACCAAAATCAGATGTTTAGAAGCGACCATGGCCCACGTACGGGCGCGTGGAGGATTTGGCGCGAAAATCAATAGCCTGGAAACGAAAAAGCTAGAAAGCTGAAACTTTAGGGTGATGTTCCCTACTCTCACGTATGACTGCCTTTTTCGCGGACCAGCAACTTTCCATTTGTCGGGTCATAGTCGACATCTGCAACTGACATACTACATAGCTGCACAATTAACTTCCCGAACTTCGAGGGCCAATATGTCACAGGGTTGGCTATTGTGATTCCTTGTGATCTTGCTACGGCACAAAAAGTGCAAAAATGCATAATCGCACCGGCCCACCTGGTGCGTTTCAGCCTGGGTTTGTAAAACATATCTAGGATGGTCACTACGACGATGGTAGCTCCGAAGACGACGAGTGCGGCATTTCGGATACTAGCTGCAAGGATAGCTTTTCCGACGACTTTGACGGCGACGATGACTACAGTGATCGACACAACCGATACCACAACCAGCACCGCTGCACCTCGCATCTAGCGTAAGTGCTAAAAAAGCGTCAATATGCCGGATTTTTTGTATTCATTGAAACTAGTCAATCATTTCTGCTATTAGCAATCTGCGAGTTTGGCGCAAAAACGCATGATTGTACCGGCAAGCCTGGTGCGTTCCAGTCTGGGTTTCCTCTTCACCACGTGTAGGTATG